TAGTTGAGTTTGGTTTTATATAGTATACTAGACATATATAATATTGATTTTTGTATGTAATTTAAAAAAATATTTATATGAACTTGTTACAACATATTTTACAATGTAAATCCATGAATTTTGAGATATCTTTACAATTGATTTATTAATGATAGTTCTAACATTAACCTTGTGTACAGTATAGAACTGTTATCCGAGATCTGTTTGAACATACAGACAGAATATTCATCCTGTGAACCTTATTTTTCAGTTATTATTGAGATCATAAACAAAAATCAAGACGAAGCAAGATATATATGTAGATACAATTTTTTTTTATTTCCAAGGTAAAACATACAAGACTTTGTAGTAAACAAATTTTGGTGGTTTTTTGCATGGTTTTGGTGAAAAATATGGATGTGACAGGGGTGTATTTTTCACAGAAGTCATGAAAGAATTGTAATTTTCTTTATTTATTCTTTTCACGGTTTTTATATCCTTGAAAATAGGGAAACTAAAAAGCCTCAGACTATGATAACATTTCGCGAACATTGATCAAAGGGCCATAACTCTTGAGCATGAAGGTTTTGAATAAAAATTGATTCAAATCATTGTGTTCAAAGGTAACAAGAATTTCTTCACTTAGATTGATCCAGCACAAACCTACACATATTATACTTGTCAAAAATCCAGCCCACTTCTAACCACCTGATATCTGGTTGTAGCCTTTACAATCAAAGGTGACAAAGTGTTTTAAGAGGTCTTCAAAGAAAAAGACCTGATAATCAATTCTATTGTATATTGACCAAACTTGTATGTATGAAATAGACTATAAGGTGATTATAGCACTTTTCACAATTCAAACAGGTATGATATGGCCAATATGAGACTGACCTGACAAAATTAGAGGAGTTAGCAACACTGATTTACCTTGAATTATCCTAATGTTATCACCACAGTAACACCATGTTGGCATAAAAATGATGTTGTTTCTACCTCAATAGGTGTGTGTTATCACAAGACATCAATTAGTCAAGCTAATGTTGTACATACATACATAATAAACCACATGTAGTATAATGCTTTAACCTTTTTTGATTGGCTGGCAGGATGAACATTTACCAAAAGGGTGTTTCATGTACTCACAGAAATAACTATGCACGTGTTGTATAACACTTTAACCTTTTTTGATTGGCTGGCAGGATGAACATTTACCAAAAGGGTGTTTCATGTACTCACAGAAATAACTATGCACACAGTGAATCATAATTGTGTTTTGGTGATTAATTTTTGTTTGGATTTCTATCACCTTTTTGCTCTGAAGATGACAAACCAATTTAATTATCGTGGTAATTTGTAATGAGTTACAATGTCTCCATGTATTTCTGTAATTTTCAGTTTTGTAGAATAATTAGCAGCATTTTACATTACGCCCAAACTGATGGCATAAACAGAACACGTGTGTGTACAGAACAGCTGAATTCAACTTTGGAATGTTATCATGGTAGAAAAGTGTCACACAAACTTGTGGTATGGTATTTTATTGCACTCTTGTTAGGGATTTTCTAAAAGCTACAAAAACACCAGATAAAGCTTGTTTATTTTTTGTAACTTTTGATAACTACAAGTAACTCGAGTGAAAGGAATTCTATATTACACAACCACTTGTTATGTTTACCTTCTGTTTATGATACAATCTGATTAACATTATTATGTAACATTACATGTGTACAACCAGTTAAGTCAGTACTGGTTTTAATCATATGATGATGATGTCAACACGTTAAGAAGTGGGGTTTTTATCGATGGTGAGTGAATGATTTGTTTCTGTTAAATTTGTGATTGTTAGTATGTAAAAATAAAAATGATTGAAAGAAACAAAATGTTTAATCAGAATTCCTTATGTTTAAATACACCTGCACATGGTCAGAAATTACCAATGTTTGGTCAGTCTTGTTTTTGAACTTTTTTTAAGTATTTTTTTTGACATGTAACAAAATCCCTACATTGTGCATCAGCAAGTAACAGGATTGCAGATTCCAACAATTTACACAATGTGTTACAAATTTAAAAAAAGATTGATTTGATCTCAACTCTGATTTATCTTTAATTGGAAACCTGTTTAATTGAATAGTTAAAGGCTTAAAACTCTCCATTTGTTATCAGATTGTTAATGCCTTGTGTGACAGGAAGATTTTATGAAAAATGCCCTACTCCTACTGGAGTTTGAACTACATACCCCAGGGGTTATGATCACTTTCACTCTCTGCACTCCTGGAACACGTAATTGCAAAATTGAAGCATCAGTGAAGTATTTTCATTGGTTCCAGGAGATAAAAAACTGACCAATCACATGCTTATGTGCTCCTTTTGAAGATTACAAAGGAGTGAGGCCCAACTTCAAATCCTTTACAATTTTATGAGACCCTGAGATTCGTTTGATGAACACCAAAGAATCACACTAGTCTTTTTGTCATGTCCACAAGCTATCACACATGAAACCTTCAATTTTGCCATGACATGTTCCACAGGTGCAGGGAGTGAAACTGCATTGGAAATGTCCTGAAGAGTATTCTGCTGTTTCAGATATCCTTTATTAATGCATGACTTAACTATGACTTAGTATTTTTTGGTACATAAAAAATGTCGTGATAATGTCAAAATTTCAAATGTTTATCTGATATAATAATGATGTCGAATCTAACTTTGCTTGGTTGGTGATTCAGGAGTTTAAACTTTACCAAGGACAGATATATTGTAGATATAAGCATTTCTCTTGTTACATTAAAATACGTAAAAATAAGGGACAGTCATAACATTTGTAGGTCTGGAAACGAGAAAGACGTGTTAAATACATTTCAGACATCGCTATCACAAACTCTGCTATAAACTGAACATGGATACTGCTTTTGTCAGCATGTTACATTTTATTCATATATCATCTTTGACTAAAACTCATTATCAACCTTGTTGTCATCTGAGAATGTGATATTACGAATTATGACTAATCTACTTTTTCATGGCTGGTATCATCGTTGAACCAGAAGACACTTAGCTTTTCAGAACATATTGGACTTTCTCTGACATTCATATTTTGCCCTTGTTTCATCGAATTTAAATTTGAATCAAGATTTCTTTGAATAATCCCTTAAGAATTTACAAGAGATATCAATATTTCCCTCACTAATATCTGTTTATAATTATGAGATATTTTAAAAACCTAACATCACAGAAATGGTTATTCAATTAGAAAGGTAACTTACAATATATTTCCTGCAATACACAAAAACAAGTTTCCCTACACGTGAAAACTAACAACGTCAAACACCAGACCTGCTAACCTAACTCAATATATATATTAAGACATGAAGCAATGACATTTTGTCTAGATTTTAACACCCTACATTAATACTTGGGTTAATAATTTTGTGTTGCCTTGATAAATCAATACACATTTTCCAGGATTCATCTAAATGATTTTTTTTTTTTTTTTTGACTTTTTTTTACATTTAGAGATGGATCAAAATAACTTGCCACATGTTGAATTGGGAAATATTTTGTTGGTTAATTCCAAATAATTTCAAAACAAACTCTAAACTCACATGTGAAAAGACAAAACTATGACATTGAAATTTGTTAGTTGTCTCCTGTTGGGGGGATTCTAACAAACGATGTTTCACAGTGCTGTTACCCAGTACAACCCAACACAAATGTCAATTTACCCAATACAACCCATTACAAATGCCAGTTTATCCAATACAACCCATTACAAATGCCAATTTACCCAATACAACCCATTACAAATGCCAATTTACCCAATACAACCCATTACAAATGCCAATTTACCCAATACAACCCATTACAAATGCCAATTTACCCAATACAACCCATTACAAATGTCAATTTACCCAATACAAATGTCAATACCCAATACAACCCTATACAAATGTCAATTTACCCAATACAACCCAATACAACCCAATACAAATGTTAATTTACCCAATACAACCCATTACAAATGTCAATTTACCCAAAACAACCCATTACAAATGCCAATTTACCCAATACAACCCAATACAAATGTTAATTTACCCAATACAACCCATTACAAATGTTAATTTACCCAATACAACCCATTACAAATGTCAATTTACCCAATACAAATGTCAATTTACCCAATACAACCCATTACAAATGTCAATTTACCCAATACAACCCAATACAAATGTTAATTTACCCAATACAACCCAATACAAATGTTAATTTACCCAATACAACCCATTACAAATGTCAATTTACCCAATACAACCCAATACAAATGTCAATTTACCCAATACAACCCATTACAAATGTTAATTTACCCAATACAACCCATTACAAATGTCAATTTACCCAATACAACCCATTACAAATGTCAATTTACCCAATACAACCCATTACAAATGTCAATTTACCCAATACAACCCAATACAAATGTCAATTTACCCAATACAACCCAATACAAATGCCAATTTACCCAATACAACCCATTACAAATGTCAATTTACCCAATACAACCCATTACAAATGTTAATTTACCCAATACAACCCATTACAAATGCCAATTTACCCAATACAACCCATTACAAATGTCAATTTACCCAATACAACCCAATACAAATGCCAATTTACCCAATACAACCCATTACAAATGTCAATTTACCCAATACAACCCAATACAAATGCCAATTTACCCAATACAACCCATTACAAATGTTAATTTACCCGATATAAATGTCTCATTACCCAATACAACCCAAAATGTATCGCATGCCTGGGAATGCCATTACAAGACGCTGTAATTTGACCTCGAGATTCGTTTGATGTACATCAAAGGATCAAACTAGTCTTTTCGACTTGTCCACAAGCTGTCGCACATGCAACTTTCAAATTTGCAATGACATGTTCCAGAGGTGCAGAGAACGAAACTGATTGTAACCCTGGAATATTGAGGATGTGATTGTCGAACATCCCATGGACATCTATGGTGGCGTAGGGAGGCCTGGTGGTGTATGGAGGCCTGGTGGTGTATGGAGGCCTGGTGATGTAAGGAGGCCTGGTGGTGTAAGGCGGCCTGGTGATGTATGGAGGCCTGGTGGGGTAAGGCGGCCTGGTGGTGTACGGAGGCCTGGTGGTGCACGGAAGCCTGGTGGTGCAAGGATGCCTGGTGGTGTATGGAGGTCTGGTGGTGTATGGAGGCCTGGTGGTGTAAGGAGGCCTGTTGGTGTAAGGAGGCCTGGTGGTGTAAGGCGGTCTGGTGATGTAGGGAGGCCTGGTGAGGTAAGGCGGCCTGGTGGTGTACGGAGGCCTGGTGGTGTAAGGAGGCCTGGTGGTGTAAGGCAGCCTGGTGGTGTATGGAGGCCTGGTGATGTAGGGAGGCCTTGTGGTGTAAGGAGGCCTGGTGGTGTAAGGAGGCCTGGTGGTGTAAGGTGGCCTGGTGGTGTAAGGCGGCCTGGTGGTGCACGGAAGCCTGGTGGTGCAAGGATGCCTGGTGGTGTATGGAGGCCTGGTGGTGTAAGGAGGCCTGGTGGTGTAAGACAGCCTGGTGGTGTATGGAGGCCTGGTGGATTTAAGGTGGCCTGGTGATGAATGGAGGCCTGGTTGTGTAAGGCGGCCTGGTGATGTATGGAGGCCTGGTAGGGTGAGGCGGCCTGGTGGTGTAAGGTGGCCTGGTGGTGTAAGGTGGCCTGGTGGTGTGAGGAGGCCTGGTTGTGTATGCGAGGTCGAGGTTGTGTATTTCCGGGTTGCTGCAGTGTGTTCGGAACTGAATCAGACTTTTACAGTGTGATGTCATTATAAAAAAGATGTCAAACCTCTCACTGAACAATGCTTCATGGTTTTCACGGTGACTTGAAAAGTTGATTTCCAAAGAGTGATACTTAAGATAATTGTAACTATTACATTATTTCAGTGACTGATGTAAAAATGAATTTAAAGCTGACCGGCTGTTACGATATATATAATTAATTCTACACTGTGTAACTTTCGTAGATTTTACAGCTCGATGTATGATGGGGACACACACATGTGCACAAATGCACGAACAAGTGTTGGTAAATCAAAAACCACTATTACAGCTACTGATACACCTATTATAGCTACACCCATAAATCCAATGGCCGCCGAAACTGGTCTGTTGTCCATGGCACTCGTCTTACGCCTTCTAGCTGACGACAGATTGGTTTTGTTCACCGCCAACTGCCTTTTTAAATCCATGATCTTTTTCTCTAGGATGAGCATGCGCTCTGCCTTGTTGATACTCGTGTCAATTCTAAATGTACATGTGTAGATGCACGATAACTTTGGACTTATGTATGCGCCTACAATACAAAAGCATACATTCGTTAAATATGGTTTCTATATTAGTGGAAATTAAAGATTTCGGGAAATCAAATACAAAGCATTTATTTTTACAGTGAATCAAAATTTCAACTTCTATTAAATGCTTGTATTCATTAACACCAATGTAAAGACGTGTTTTCAGGTCGACTGTTTAAGGCAGTGCTGTGCAAAATATAATCCCGTGCACTAGACCCAACCGGAACAAAGGCGAAAATGGAAGTGCCACGAAATCCACACCATGGAATGGACTATATGTGCTTATCAAGTTGTCAGTGTTGTTGACTCAACAATCAAATATGCGATGAGTTTTTGAACAAAGAAACAGAGAAATCCCTATGAATACTCCAACTCTCAAAGACAATGAATACTCCAACTCTCACAGACAATGAATACTCCAACTCTCACAGACAATGAATACTCCAACTCTCACAGACAATGAATACTCCAACTCTCACAGACAATGAATACTCCAACTCTCAAAGACAATGAATACTCCAACTCTCACAGACAATGAATACTCCAACTCTCACAGACAATGAATACTCCAACTCTCACAGACAATGAATACTCCAACTCTCACAGACAATGAATACTCCAACTCTCACAGACAATGAATACTCCAACTCTCACAGACAATGAATACTCCAACTCTCACAGACAATGAATACTCCAACTCTCACAGACAATGAATACTCCAACTCTCACAGACAATGAATACTCCAACTCTCAAAGACAATGAATACTCCAACTCTCACAGACAATGAATACTCCAACTCTCACAGACAATGAATACTCCAACTCTCACAGACAATGAATACTCCAACTCTCACAGACAATGAATACTCCAACTCTCATCACAGACAATGAATACTCCAACTCTCACAGACAATGAATACTCCAACTCTCACAGACAATGAATACTCCAACTCTCACAGACAATGAATACTCCAACTCTCAAAGACAATGAATACTCCAACTCTCAAAGACAATGAATACTCCAACTCTCACAGACAATGAATACTCCAACTCTCACAGACAATGAATACTCCAACTCTCACAGACAATGAATACTCCAACTCTCTCAATGAATACTCCAACTCTCACAGACAATGAATACTCCACTCTCAGACAATGAATCCAACTCTCACAGACAATGAATACTCCAACTCTCACAGACAATGAATACTCCAACTCTCAAAGACAATGAATACTCCAACTCTCAAAGACAATGAATACTCCAACTCTCACAGACAATGAATACTCCAACTCTCACAGACAATGAATACTCCAACTCTCACAGACAATGAATACTCCAACTCTCAAAGACAATGAATACTCCAACTCTCACAGACAATGAATACTCCAACTCTCACAGACAATGAATACTCCAACTCTCACAGACAATGAATACTCCAACTCTCACAGACAATGAATACTCCAACTCTCACAGACAATGAATACTCCAACTCTCAAAGACAATGAATACTCCAACTCTCACAGACAATGAATACTCCAACTCTCACAGACAATGAATACTCCAACTCTCACAGACAATGAATACTCCAGCTCTCGGAGACAATGAATACTCCAACTCTCAAAGACAATGAATACTCCAACTCTCAAAGACAATGAATACTCCAACTCTCACAGACAATGAATACTCCAACTCTCAAAGACAATGAATACTCCAACTCACAGACAATGAATACTCTAACTCTCACAGACAATGAATACTCCATCTCTAGGAGACAATGAATACTCCAACTCTCAAAGACAATGAATACTCCAACTCTCACAGACAATGAATACTCCAGCTCTCGGAGACAATGAATACTCCAACTCTCACAGACAATGAATACTCCAACTCTCACAGACAATGAATACTCCAACTCTCGAAGACAATGAATACTCCAACTCTCAAAGACAATGAATACTCCAACTCTCAGAGACAATGAATAGTCCAACTCTCGGAGACAATGAATACTCCAACTCTCACAGACAATGAATACTCCAACTCTCACAGACAATGAATACTCCAACTCTCACAGACAATGAATACTCCAACTCTCACAGACAATGAATACTCCAACTCTCACAGACAATGAATACTCCAACTCTCACAGACAATGAATACTCCAACTCTCAAAGACAATGAATACTCCAACTCTCACAGACAATGAATACTCCAACTCTCACAGACAATGAATACTCCAACTCTCACAGACAATGAATACTCCAACTCTCACAGACAATGAATACTCCAACTCTCACAGACAATGAATACTCCAACTCTCACAGACAATGAATACTCCAACTCTCACAGACAATTAATACTCCATCTCTAGGAGACAATGAATACTCCAACTCTCACAGACAATGAATACCCCAGAAACAAGAATGCAGACAGCCTCTCTAAGCCATGAATCCTGTTTCCACATGATAGGGTCCATTAAGACCGATCTATAATTATATCTTTTTTTCAAGTCAGCCTTGATACACTAGTTTGTCATAACGCCTAGTCTGATTATAACGAGATCGAGATAACCACTGTTCATCTAAATCGAGGTATCGGGTATCTGATATCTATGCTCCAGACTACGGTTTGTCTGAGCCAGAACCTATAGGCTTTAAAGCGAAAAATTCTAAATAAATTCCGAGTTACCTTAACTTAAAGGATAATTCAAAAGATCAGTCAAATGCATGTTTCAGATCTTTCATACAGAAATAATAGCAGCTTAAACTATTTCCACGTACCTGTTCGCTGAATGACAGACACCATTGGTGGAGGTTCTGTGGTCGTCGACTCGCGAATTGTGGACGATGTTTTCTTGGTTGTTGCAGCAGTAGTGGATGGTGTTGTAGTGGTGGATGGTGCTGCAGTGGTGGATGGTGTTGTAGTGGTGGATGGTGTTGTAGTGGTGGGTGGTGTTGTAGTGTTGGATGGTGTTGAAGTGGTGGATGGTGTTGTGGTATTTGATGGTGTTGTAGTGGTGGATGGTGTTGTAGTGGTGGATGTTGTTGTGGTAGTTGATGTTGTTGTAGTGGTGGATGGTGTTTTAGTGGTGGATGGTGTTGTAGTGGTGGATGGTGTTGTAGTGGTGGATGGTGTTTTAGTGGTGGATGGTGTTGTAGTGGTGGATGGTGTTGTAGTGGTGGATGGTGTTGTAGTGGTGGGTGATGTTGTAGTGGTGGATGGTGTTGTAGTGGTGGGTGGTGTTTTAGTGGTGGATGGTGTTGTAGTGGTGGATGGTGTTCTAGTGTTGGATGGTGTTGTAGTGGTGGATGGTGTTGTAGTGGTGGATGGTGTTGTAGTGGTGGATGATGTTGTAGTGGTGGATGGTGTTGTAGTGGTGGGTGGTGTTGTAGTGGTGGGTGATGTTGTAGTGGTGGATGGTGTTGTAGTGGTGGGTGGTGTTTTAGTGGTGGATGGTGTTGTAGTGGTGGATGGTGTTGTAGTGGTGGTTGGTGTTGTAGTGGTGGATGGTGTTGTAGTGGTGGATGGTGTTGTAGTTGTAGATGTTGTTTTAGTGGTGGATGGTGTTGTGGTAGTTGATGTTGTAGTGGTGGATGGTGTTGTAGTGGTGGATGTTGTTGTAGTGGTGGATGGTGTTGTAGTGATAGTCGATGTTGTAGTGGTGGATGGTGTTGTAGTTGTAGATGTTGTTTTAGTGGTGGATGGTGTTGTAGTGGTAGATGGTGGTGTCGAGTCGGTTGTTACGAGTGATGCTACGGCGGTCGTTACTGTAGAAGTGATTGACGCTACGGATTTCGGAGTAGCGGTTGTTGCTGGTGTTAAAATAGCTGTAGTAGTAGTCATGTTTGAATCACAATGAATGTAGCACTGACACTGAAATAAGAAGTATGTCTCAATATTAACTTTTCAGAAACAAGAGGTCTTAAATCATTTACCAGGATAATAATAATTTTCTACTCTTAGCAATATAACAAACTACTATGGACGGCATTTGACGCACATGATTTCCAGCAAATACAATGTTGTTAATCCTTTTATACATATTTGCTTATGAAAAAGTGAAGTTGTCTAAGGGGGGGGGGAGCTCTGATTAAATTTTATTTCTTAGACTGTTTCTTCAAAAGAAGAAGTGATTTACCAAGACTTTCTGTCTAAATCTCATTCTGATGACTCTTGGGACACAGGAGTCAAATTCCCCGTTTGTACAAAATTGTACAAACATGATCAGGAATGAATGTACTCATTTGTGTCATAATTCGAACAGAAGAACAAAAACATAAAAAAAAAAAAAATATACCAACATGGCAACATTATTATAATTTAAACTAAAATTCCATAAAACTAGGGCAAAATATGATATAAAAATGTTCCGGAGGAATAAGAGTATAATTAATGACTGATCTCTATTTCCTCTACTGTGCGCGTCAATCTGGTGTCAAACTCTTTAATCCAGTGATGTCCTTGATTGCAAGTCTTAACCCTGGGGTTGATGTGTAATAAAGAATATCCATATGCATGCATGTATGTCTTGTTCATGTGTTTAGCATATTTTACTTTTCGGACTGGTAGTTATTGATGATCTGCATTGAAATCGCCATCCCATTCGAGTACATTTGTAAATATATATATACTTATTTATAACTTTATTTATTTTACAACAATTGCGAAACAAGTTAAGTCAACTTATACTAATTACTCTTGTTGGCCCGGATGTAAGCGCTCGAGGGGTCCTATTGTGGGAGGAAACTGCAGTACCCGGGGAAAACCCACGTGGTCGGAAAGATGACCCCTTACCTTTTCACGTCCGGGAATCGAACCCGGCTAGGTGAAAGGCGAGTGCGTTACCACTGCGCCACCCGACCACCCATTTGTAATTAGTGTTAACGAAATAAAGGTTGTATAGTTCTATCTGAAATACTGAAATACGCAACAAATACCGACACGTCAATATTACTTCAAAGACGAATCCAACAAAACGGGGTGGGGGGTGGGGGGTGGGGGGGAATAGTACAAAGAGGTTACAAGAAACGTACATAAGGGGCAAGCGTCTTCTGCTTTGTTGACAACTTGTATCATGTAAATCTCTCTCAAGTCAACATGTTAATACCAAGTTTCCAAATTAGAATAATGGTTCCAAAAACTGGACCACTAAACAAACTGCAATGTATGAAACATGATAGGCTTAATTTTCCCTTTCATGCCGTTTGACAAAAGAGGAACAAACCTACTTACTTTGATTGTATTTAGCAGTCGGTATTGTGGTTGTGCAAATGGTCGTATTTGAGTTATGTTTAATCCAAAAGCTGGGTCATCCTCTGATACGAAAACATTGATATATCGTCCTTTCAGCTTCAGGAATTGACTTGTCCTTATATATGCTGTTTGCAAGGAGTCCGTAAACATGAGCGATGCGTCTCCATAGTTAGCGTTAGTAGCGAGGAAAGTTGGTGTAGAATTTACACACATCAGCTGAACGCTTGTAGGACTGTATGGCACTATATAGACTGTACAGGTTTGTGTACAGTTAATGTAGAAATATTTGCTTTTTTCTGTATCGCTGTACAGCTTGTAGAACGTGCTCTTGTCAGGCAGTGTAATGGACAAATTTGGTATGATCTCATTAAATGACAACTTAAAAGGCTGAATTTTGTCACTGATAAAACACCCTCTCTCCGAAATATTTAATGCCCAGCCTGTTTTTATAGAGTATAGAACACTGGCTGTATTCTTGACGTCTAGAATATAACTGGTATTGACAGAAGCAGTGCATACCTCGCTTACTGTCATTCCTATCACACAGACACCATAGTAGTCTTTACCTGGAATAGAATATAGGTATTTTCGAACATAACAATACGAATGCCTGTAAATTTAACTGACTTTACAGTTTCTCATCACTGTTCGATATGAGATTTCAAGACCTACACGTCTTTCTCCCAAACTATCAATCTCCTCCGGAAACGATAACTAAGTATTTCAATACGACTCTAAATTTATTTTGAAAATAAACCTAGTTATAGAATTATAACTTCAACATTCATGTAATGCAGCTGGTGTGTTGAAATTTCCATACTTAAATGTAACTACTTGCAATATTCTTTTACAGCTGTACAAAAAGTCATATTTTTAATATGCTATTTTTTTAAATACAAGAAAAATAATATCTTTTAGCATATACTCATACTCTTAAACATGTAGCTAAAACAAGGCAGATTCATGATTTCAAGAGGTGAAAAACGTGGTGCTTTGCATTGTTTCTAGAGAGAGAAAGAAAAAGACAATCATAGATAAGAATAGATGGAAGAAAGGACATAGAAAGGAAAAAGTGATTATTAAATAATGGAATAATTACTTTTAGAGTTGATTTAGTCGTAAAAAATGAAACATTAAAGAGGCACCGAGGATAATAATATGAAAACAGCATACATACCTCTTGTAAACATGACGGGCAGAAACAAAAGCAGGACTTTCAAGCAACCCATATCTGCAACAACATACAGTAAAAGGTTTTATAGTTCTTCAGTAGCATGAACCAAGTTGCTTCTGGATCTTCTCGAATTTTGGAGATAGTTATTATTCATTTTAACACTTAGCGATTTTTGGAGGAGTCAGTGATGTCCGTAAAATAACAATTAGACAAAATTAAAAATTGTCCCTCAAACTCAAACTTGATGAAAACAAGTGCAAAATATTACCAAACTATTTTCACGGAGATCCTCTAAAACACAAAGAGAACAAAGCAAGTTGTTCCGGAGGAGTAAGCGTTTTTTGCTTCATCGTTCATGACATTCGCAATATCAATACAAATCTTGGTTCATCCATGCAAGTGACGTCACATTCTCAAATGAGAGTTAAGGTCAACAATGAAACTACCAGGTCTACTGACGAACATCATTTAGTTTCATATCAGTAGGAAAATAGAACTCCATTCCTACATCATTGTTTTATATTGATTTATTTATTTAACGACGCCCTTTGAACATTTATCAATGATACAGAAACGGCGGAAAATATGCCTGCAACATTATTTCTCATTATGTCCTTAAATGATAATGAAAAGTCCTCCTACGCTTACCAAAGGAAAAGATCAAACAAAATCTGCTGAATCTTTGTAATACTTAAGATCTTAATATTGATTTCTTTGTTTGTTTTATTTGTTTGTTTGTTTTTTGTTTTGTTTTGTTTTTTTTTTTTTTTCTTTCTTTTCCATTCTATGTGTTGTTCTTAACACTCGCCTTCGTCTTACTTTGGATCATAAACCCCATTTAAGAAATGTAGGTCATGTAGTGTATATAACAACGAAAAGGCCACTTAACACATTAAACAATACTAGCGCTAGATAGGAATTTGTGACGAAAATCACGTTTTAGTATTATGACGTTACCATAAGTATGAAAAATTGCCTATCATTATCTAGTGTTTTAAATGAAAGTGAATTAAATGTTATTGTCAGATCTTGATGATATTGGGTTTTTTCCGAAATAGGTCGAGGCCAAACAGAGATAGAGACATCACAAAATTATAACCAGGGATACCTGGATGTTAACAGCTATCTGACTATAAAGTTGTTATAAAGTTATACAATTACACAGACTATTCTGCATTCTCAATTTTCCCTCTTCATTTTAGAACTACTGAAAATAGTTCTGTCTGTATTTCAATTTCTTAATTTCCCGTATTTCAGTTTCATGGTACAGGTTCTCCAAAATAAGTTTACATTGTGTTTCAAGATGACGGTCATCGCGGTTGATTGGATTTCTCTCAGACCATTTCAGGTCATTTTAGACAAGTAAGAGATAAATTCCAGTTGTGGAATTCGCGAAGTTTGAAATAGATATTGTCCCAGAAAGCCATGATTTTCTAATCCATTAAATCCAAGTGATCCATTAAAGAGCAGTCAAGCATGCGAAATTATTCATGTTAAAAGAAACATTTTATTGGTTAATAGTTATCTATTTATTCAACATCAACTACTTTGATACAGTTTTAGATGTAACAGCTTTGTAAAGACAAAATAGATAATTATAAAATTTGAATTCCATTTACGATATCTCTTAAACCGAAACTACAGTTTACGAAATTTGTATGTCAGTTACCATTGTCTATAATCTCCAATTTTCACAATAACGTCGTGCACGGTCAGTCCTTAGATAATTTAAATTGTGGCTTAAAGTTATTATTTTTCATAGCTAGCATCATTTCGTCCGGGGACCTACACTACAATTTTTTCATAACATTTAAATAACGTTGTATCTTTAACGTTGAAATAACGTTGTATCTTTAACGTTGAAATAACGTTGTATCTTTAACGTTGAAATAACGTTGTATTTTTAACATTAAAATAACGTTGTATCTTTAACGTTGAAATAATGTTGTATCTTTAACGTTGAAATAACGTTATGAAATATTGGCTGTTTAATTATTTAGCTTCCGGTTCTGACAGAGATTTCTTTAGATAACATGTTATTTTTCAAATTCCTCTATTTTCAGCACAAATTAATAAAAAAAAAATAAAAAATGGGTGGGTGGTTGGTGGAAGATATCCATATTAATTCGAAAATAAATGCCAGAAAAGTCATATTGAACTCGGGAAAAAATTTAAATGACAACAATAATCAATTTTCGAGACAAAGTTCAATAAATGTCACATTCATTATATGTCATTATTCATTCAAAATGATATTAAAACATCTGTAGACATTCTTTATGAAAAGTTCATTCTTATTTTATCCAAATCATATTTGCGAAAAGTATGTTGTGCCCATATTTTTTACCGATCCTTTTCAATGTTTTCCTGAACTCCGCATCGTTTTTTCTGTTTTGTAGACTAAAGCAGTTAATTACGTTTACCAACCTTTCGTTAGGTGAAGTATTCCGTCGTGCGTTACTGAAGTCAATGTAGACTGAACGAAAATGTTGCTCCTTCAATATCAACCATATGTTGAAAGGTACTTGTGCTGATGCTGGGTAGATTTTTAAGTAATACATCCGTTACTTGTTTAATAACAACACGGTAACAAATCCCTGTGTTAACAAATCACCTTAGGTACAATCGAACATTTTAATTCCATCGCCACACTTAGTATTGTAAATATTAGTTTGACGTAAAATCCACAAGTCGGTTTGAGGTGTATCATGAGGAATTCTCAACCTGTTGTCTTATTATTTTTTCTGTTGCAATATAAGGACGAAATCCCCATGTGTCCAAAATGAGTGCCTGTTTTCGGCCATCAGAGAAATCGCCAAGTCCAGGGCAATTGAAGGTACTGTTGGTAATTAATTCATTAATAGTCATCACAAAATAGAAATGTGTGGGATATATAGATATAAGAAATGAAAGTATCTTATGACGTACTAAACGACACGTGTATGAAAAAGCTTTGTCATTGATATCGACCATGAATGCTACATATCACAAGTGATTTTTAACCTTATGAACAATGCATGACAGAAGGCTAGTGCACGGGGAACTATTGTAATGTCTTGCATGTGCTGGATCAACTGAACACTTCATCCTGTATTAAGGAATGTATTGATTTAAAGGCAATTAAATTGTTAGTGGTTTACGAACAGCCGCAGTCACTTAATTCCCATTGTGACACATTTCCTTTTTCTAACACAATTGAAGTAGTAATATCCTGATAAAAGGACAAAAAAGAATGAATGCGCGAATTGACGGAGTTTTAATACGTACATGATTCGATTTATAGCGATTTCAGCCAACAACTGTTTAGAGAGATAAGAGAAAGTATTGAATGAAAAAGGAATGGAATTAATTAATAAGAATAAATCATGAAAAGTATTGATAAACAAAATGTTGGTAATTTTTATTTATTTATTTATTATTGCTTTCGCTTTGGCATTACTGTCAATTTGTTGTCCAGGTTACGACAATTCACGTTTAAACTGTTATATGGCAATACTTTCTAGTTAACGCTGTGCTAGTAGTACTGTGTTTGAGATACCAAAACGTGGCGGCTGGCCTTTTACTTGTTTGTGACTTAAATAATTGCATCACATATTTTAACGTAACAAATAGGTAAGATCAAGCATTATAGCGAGACAATGTGTGAACAATTTGTCAATGCCAACATTTTGATTAAAAAATATCGTGAAGTCATTGATGGTGAGACATCTGGCATGGTTGAAGTAACAAGCGATGTGCCTCAAGGTGGTGGTTTAGGTCCTGTCTTGTTTTGTTTGTTTGTTTATTTGTTTGTTTGTTTTTTAATTTTATTTATAAAGTCCTTGACGTAGTACATTATATTGTATTGAAATGTTTTGTTGACGATTTTAAACTCTTGATAAAAATAGCAGACTATCAGAAACACAAGAGCTACAAACAGATATTAACCAGAGACATATATATCACTGATATTAACATAATAATCCAACTGACTGGAAAATGACATTGGGCAACAAAAATGTGTGAACACCTAAATATTGGTAATTTGTTACAAAATTCCCAATATAATTTTTCCTTAAAATGTACAGATAGGAAAAGTCAAGAATGAAAAATGATTTAGGTGTAGATTTGTTAATAATAAACTAAAAGCAAGCAATCATGTGAGTCAATCGGTCAACAAGGCTAACTGTATGCTGGGAATGATATTTAGTCAGTCAACAAAGCTAACTGTATGCTGGGAATGATATTTAGTCGGTCAACAAAGCTAACTGTATGCTGGGAGTGATATTTAGTCGGTCAACAAAGCTAACTGTATGCTGGGAATGATATTTAGTCGGTCAACAAAGCTAACTGTATGCTGGGAATGATATTTAGTCGGTCAACAAAGCTAACTGTATGCTGGGAGTGATATTTAGTCGGTCAACAAAACTAACTGTATGCTGGGTTCAGTCGGTCAACAAAGCTAACTGTATGCTGGGAATGATATTTAGTCGGTCAACAAAGCTAACTGTATGCTGGGAATGATATTTAGTCGGTCAACAAAGCTAACTGTATGCTGGGAATGATATTTAGTCGGTCAACAAAGCTAACTGTATGCTGGGAATGATATTTAGTCGGTCAACAAAGCTAACTGTATGCTGGGAATGATATTTAGTCGGTCAACAAAGCTAACTGTATGCTGGGAATGATCAGTCGGTCAACAAAGCTAACGGTATGCTGGGAATGATATTTAGTCGGCTGGGAATGATATTTAGTCGGTCAACAAAGCTAACTGTATGCTGGGTTCAGTCGGTCAACAAAGCTAACTGTATGCTGGGAATGATATTTAGTCGGTCAACAAAGCTAACTGTATGCTGGGAATGATATTTAGTCGGTCAACAAAGCTAACTGTATGCTGGGAATGATATTTAGTCGGTCAACAAAGCTAACTGTATGCTGGGAATGATATTTAGTCGGTCAACAAAGCTAACTGTATGCTGGGAATGATATTTAGTCGGTCAACAAAGCTAACTGTATGCTGGGAATGATATTTAGTCGGTCAACAAAGCTAACTGTATGCTGGGAATGATATTTAGTCGGTCAACAAAGCTAACTGTATGCTGGGAATGATATTTAGTCGGTCAACAAAGCTAACTGTATGCTGGGAATGATATTTAGTCGGTCAACAAAGTTAACTATATGCTGGGAATGATGTTTAGTCGTCGGTCAACAAAGCTTACTGTATGCTGGGTTCGGTCGGTCAACAAAGCTAACTGTATGCTGGGAATGATATTTAGTCGGTCAACAAAGCTAACTGTATGCTGGGAATGATATTTAGTCGGTCAACAAAGCTAACTGTATGCTGGGTTCAGTCGGTCAACAAAGCTAACTGTATGCTGGGAATGATATTTAGTCGGTCAACAAAGCTAACTGTATGCTGGGAATGATATTTAGTCGGTCAACAAAGCTAACTGTATGCTGGGAATGATATTTAGTCGGTCAACAAAGCTAACTGTATGCTGGGAATGATATTTAGTCGGTCAACAAAGCTAACTGTATGCTGGGAATGATATTTAGTCGGTCAACAAAGCTAACTGTATGCTGGGAATGATATTTAGTCGGTCAACAAAGCTAACTGTATCGGTCAACAAAGCTAACTGTATGCTGGGAATGATATTTAGTCGGTCAACAAAGCTAACTGTATGCTGGGTTCGGTCGGTCAACAAAGCTAACTGTATGCTGGGAATGATATTTAGTCGGTCAACAAAGCTAACTGTATGCTGGGAATGATATTTAGTCGGTCAACAAAGCTAACTGTATGCTGGGAATGATATTTAGTCGGTCAACAAAGCTAACTGTATGCTGGGTTCAGTCGGTCAACAAAGCTAACGGTATGCTGGGAATGATATTTAGTCGGTACTGTATGCAGATATTTAGTCCAACAAAGCTAACTGTATGCTTAGAGTCGGTCAACAAAGCTAACATGCTATGCTGGGAATGATGATTTAGTCGGTCAGAAAACTAATTATCTAACTTATGCTGGGAATGATATTGCAAGTCGGTCAACAAAGCTAACTGTATGCTGGGAATGATATTATCATGCTATATCAATAAACTTAAGCTTGCCCACCACAGGGTGTAGACGTAAACGCAGTGACGTTTACAAATTATTTTCCTGTTATGACCAATGTATAGATGAAGATACATTATCCTAGTTTTAATTCAAGCACAGCTTTGTTGCAGACATTAAATCTCAACAATAGACAATACATTACTTGAGAAAAAAGCAGTAAAATATTTAACTTCCAAATCCAACTTGGTCACGTGTCAGCTATTTATTTTCTGATTAGACGCAA